CCATCCACACACCGGCGCGAAAACAACACACGTCGCGGAAGTCGGTGGGCTGGCATGTGTAACACGTGGCCCAGTCATCGGAGCCTGATGCGTGAAATAACGGTGCTGAGTGGTTCATTTCCTTTTCCTGTGCCATAAACAAGGCGTCGAACACGCTCGTTGCTCACGCGGTGTTCCCACCAAATGTGAGCTAAATTACGAAGGTACCGGTGGTCGAACGTAACTAGCCTCTTCAGGTCCGCTGCTTTAAGCGGCCAGGTTTCACAACCGTACAGTAGGGTCGAACGTACTACTGCATTGTACACTCTACCCTTCAGGGTGAGAGTGATGTCGCGCCGCTGCCATTAGTGGCGAAGGTTAGCAAAAGCGCCCCGAACTTTTGCTATACGGTTCGTGATCTCAGCTGCAATCCCACGGGCGCTGATACAACTTCCCAGGTAGTTGAATTTTTGAACGACTTCTAGCTGATCCCCACCAAGGGTCAGCGTAGGAGGCGGTCCAAGCCAATCTTGGAGAAACGCTTTGCACTTCGAGGGTGTGAAGCAAATCCCGAAGTGACAGACAGCTAGTGCTAATCTGTCCAGTGCCGCTTGGCACGTTTGTGAACTGTCACAGATGAGGGCAATATCATCAGCATACTCCAAGTCAAAAAGTCGTTCTCCTGAGAGTAGCTCCACACCTTCTAAGTCGTGTCCTGTAAACGCAATTTCCATGACTTCGTCAACAGCGAAGTTGAAGAGGAAAGGTGACAGCCGGCATCCTTGTCTCACGCCGCTGGAGATATTAAAGAGGGACTACAACTTGCCGTAGGCCGTCACTCTGCCCGAGCTACGCGCATATAATGCTCGGATAATATTCACATATTTCTCAGGTACACCTTTCCTGAGTAGACAGTCCCAAGGTGCATGTCTATCCACCCAAACGAATGCACCTATGATATCGAGGAACACGACAACGGTGGGCCGCCAATATATGTGACGGTGCTCCAACAACTGACGCAAGGTGAAGATGTGGTCAATACAGCTACGACCTCGACGAAATCCAGCTTGCTCTTCGCGTATCTGGCTTTCACGAGTTCCACTCAGTCTGTGAAGGATGACAGAGGCGAGCGATTTTGAGGCGATGGAGATCAGACTGATTCCTCTATGGCTGCCGCATTCCGATCGTGAGCCTCCTTTGAAAATTGGGACTATGACGGAGCGGTTCCAATCGGTTGGAACAGTCTACTGCTCCCACAGTCTCACTAGTAACTCGTGTAAATTATCCACAAGAGCAGGTCACCCGAATTTGAAGAGGGCTGGAGAAAGGTCATCAGGTCCCGCGGCTTTATTTAACTTCAACAGTTTGATCTCGCGTTCGACTTCTGAGCGAGAGGGTGGATCCAAAGGAACAGCCCACGGAGCAGGGCGATCACTGGTCGGCGAGAAATCTAACAATTCTGACCGATTAAATTGCCTTTCAAAGTGCTCAGCCCAACGTTCCAGGCGTTTTGATAAGTTGTGGATAGGCTGTCCACTCTCGTCACGTATAGTTTCACTAACACCAGGTCTCCTGCTGCCCGTTTCCCGTATAAGACGGAATAACTCATGATGGTTACCAAGGGCAGCGGCCATTTCCATCTCTGTTGCACGATTAAACCACCAGGATTCGCGGTCTCTCTTCAAGCTAGCACGGAGTTTCGTCCGGAGCTCTTTGTGTTCGTTGTGTTCGCTTCCAGCCGGGATATGCCGGCGAGTGCCGATAAGTTCCAGAGACTGTGAAGAGACCCAATGTTCATGTTGGTGATTAGACATACCACATGAGGATTTGCCTGCTGCTAGTAAGGCCTGTTGCATATGAGACCAGTGAGCTTCAATTGTATCCAGTGAGCGTTTATCCAACTTGGATGACAGCGTAATTTGATAGGCGTTCAGAACAGCTGGCTTCACCAGTCTGCCGGTGTCAATGCGCTTACAACATCGTCGCGGGCGTCCGCCAAAGCGCATCCGCAGGTCAGCACATACAAGTGCATGATCGGTGTCAACACCTGTGCTCCAAATCGAGCGACAGTTCTGGACGCAGCCTCTCCAGCGGTAACTTATCGCAATGTGATCGATTTGCGTCCATAGCTGGTTCGAAGCTGGTGGGCGCCAAGTCATCCTCCGGCGGGTGCTGTGTCGGAAATTAGTGCTCGCAAGAAATAAGCGAGCATCCTCACACAGATGAAGTAACTGCTCACTGTTATCATTACGGGAGCCTATACCATGTTGACCGCCCAGATGCAGCTTATCTGTGGATAATTTTCCAACTTGAGCGTTTAGATCCCCAGCCAGCACTACAGTGTCCGAGCTTCTTCTGTGGCGAGGGAGCTGAGTCAGTTGGCGATAGAAGTCGTCTTTTACCGAGTCATCGCTAAAGTTTGTCGGTGCATAGGCAGCGATAACGAATAGACACCTGTTAGTCCCACGCGACTTCGAAGCTTTGAACAAGCCAGCCAATCGGACCGCACACATCTGGCTACTGATTGGAATCCAATCAACCAGAGCAGCTTCACCCCGGGGACTCAGGGCAATACCAACACCGGCTTGGCCGGTGCTCAAAGCTGCATCGTCACCGGACAGGCGCAATGAGAAAGTGCTGCTAGTGTCACCTGAAGGGGATCGCAGCGTGAGTACAGAGCTCGAGTCTTGCAGGCGGGTCTCCAATAAGCAGCAGATATCGATGAAGAGGGTCTCTAATGTTTGGGCAAGTGCTGCCTGTTGACCGATCCGAAGCAATGTGCGAACGTTGAGGCAGGCCAGTCTGAAGGAGGATCGAGGGCTCCAAATGGAAGCCGATGAACTGGAATGGGCCGCTTGCTTGGGCATGGGCCTGTTGACAGTGCAGGAATGACGCTCCGCGTTCACCTGTGAGTTGAAAGTAAAAGACAAGCGACTACTGAGGCAAGGTGGGGGAGGGCCGAGAATTGGGGGGTTGAAAACAGGGGGGATAAAAGTGAAGCTGGAACGGGACGATAAGGGTGAAAAAGCGCGAGAAGGAGAATAAGAAGACGGGAAGGCTTGAGCAGTAGCATCCAAACCCCTATCCACCCTGCTCGATGCAGCAGATAGGGCACCGTTGATTATCCTCTACGGTGGCCAGAGCATCAGAAATTTGTTTGAGGTAAGATTCATGGTATTGCGTGGGCAGGATACTGTCAGCTTGCCCAGGCCTAGACAGGAGAACGATTAGGATTCTCAACCAAAGCCTTTGGTTCAAAAACCTGTCCGCAAGGCAGCGGGTTTGACACTGGACTACAAGGAGTCCGTTTTAAGGAATAAGGAGCCACCCTCATTCCAACCCCCAACCTGGAGGACCGGGAGGCTGAGTTTGTCTGGTCTCTAACCATTGACCAATCTGGTATGAGTGGCTGTGAAGGTGCAAAAGCACCACCCAGTATAGCTCAATGAATCACTGAGGCACACAAACCATCGCACCACGGTAAGGTCCAGCCTCATTGCGATGGGTTGGAGTTCAAACCCGGGAAGGTCTCATAGTGCTTCAAAGTGCCACACGAGGAACATCCAAATCCACGCAATATAAAAAGGATTTTAGGATAAAAACTGATGTCTTTAACTGATATCCCAGACTGTGGGAAGTAGCTGAAATATACTTCCTTGATTTTCCATCCGCATACTCGTTTGAATGTAGTTTCAGCAGAGGGGTTTCGCTAACCAAAAACAGAAAGAGAATGGACCTCACAGCAAGCGGATATTGCGACTCTCGTTGTCACGTCTGGAGCCGGGCATAAGCAAGCTTGTTCAGTGATATCAGGCTTAAGGCTCGTGTTAATACTTTGACAGAAAAATTGCTAAGACGTTACTATATAGCTTAATTCATCATATACTTTACAGTTAAAAGCTAACAATAATTAAAGGCAATACTAACTATTAATGATGACTTTTGTGTAATTACAGACAAGTGGCTTGATGTTGCCACACAACGAATGTTATCTGGAGACAATGGGAGTTCGAAAATAAGGCTTATAAGAGAAAGAGTAGTGATACCAACATTAAAAACTTGATCATCGCAGCAAAAGATACCAATATGACCACTGGGAATTGCAGATTGACGTCTGTTAGGTGTTGCGGATTGCTGAAATTGTGGTAATCAAGGGTGGGGGCCATGAGAAATGGAAGGGGGCCACGACCAAATAAAAATTGAGAATGCCTGGTCCAACCCATAAACCGGAAAAGCATCAGACGGTCACTCTACCCTATTAGGGTGAACAACTTTGTACAAACGGTCAAGAGTTGGCCCAGCATTGTACTTGCGCTTCCCTCTTTTAGAGTGTAAGCCGTTATTGCAGGACCACTACTTGGATCTTCATGATGGGGAGTTGGAGACAGTTGATCAATACAAGTAAAAGTGACGCGCGCATAACTGCCGAAATTGGTCTACGTATTGTGCTAAACAAGAACTGCATTCATTGATTTTAAGAGTCGTCGGTACACGAGGACTGCCCTCGATGACCGCCAAACATTACCCCCGTGAACTAATGACGTGAGGCCATCGTTAGACAAAACATTTCTGAGATCAGTCAGTAGCAGTTTGTTCATGTTGAAGTGAAAAGGCGACTACCACATGATGACGATTGAGTTAGTTTACTTGATTAGCAACGAAGATCGAACAAACACCCGCGCACCTGGTTTTGCTTACCTGACCCACGGCACGAGGGGGCAATTGTTGAATCGGTAGCGAAAAGCGAAGTCACTGACGAGTAAACCAGGTTCCGTCAATCTATCATACTTATCAGATTTGGGACTGCACCACCTGCCCCGCGTGCTTAGTTCGAGTGCCTGCGGAACAGTCCTCGAAACAGGCTCCCTAGAAGCACTCCGTACAAACTGTGGCGCAAGATTTAGTATGAGAAGAGGCAGTGAAAGGTGTCTGAAACAAGGGAAGTGTTAGACGAATTGGTTTCCGATTACGGACACTTTATTTAGAAAGTTAAGAGGATAGCGAATAAAAACACATCTCACCTGAAACGTGTGACGCGTCGTGTCCGCCAGGCGTAACCGGATAATGTGAACCAATTGTTCATGCGTGTAAGGCGCAAAAGTTAACCGGGCCATACCAAGACGGCTGGCCACACGTGGGTGGAGCAGACGATCCGGCAAATCCATGGTGTTCGCAATTGTCAAGACGATGAGGAGACGACGAGCATGTGGCCGAGAAGGCCAATCGAAAAGACGATAAAGCACATCCTGACGCCGAGTGCACAGTAAGTCCAATTCGTCAATGACTAAAACGACGGGTGTGGACGTGAGTCTGCCGGAATAGGTGCCGAATTCGTGGTCCAGCTTATCGGCAGCTTGTTTGGCCGATATAATTTTTCCGGTTAATTGCTGGAAGATTAGATGGGAGTGAAAAGAATAAAACTAAGAAAGTGGGGAACATGAGAATGGAGGAGAAAGCAGTTAATTGTCGAGGCTTGAAACTAATATAGAAGTGAAGCTGAACAATTGAATCGTTAAACTGTCCCGTCTTCGTAGGTTCTGGAATTACTGACACTATAAATACAGAGGAGAAAAACAGTTGTCGCAGAATTGGATGGTCCAACCGATCGCAGAAATCTACACCAGAAAGAGGGAATACATTCGGGACGAATGCACAGAAAATGATCGTTGAACAGACTAACCCGTGCTCAAGATGATCGAAAGAACTATCAATCATTTAGTAGCTATCGGTTGTATATTAGTACTTGAAACGAGGCTTGGTCACCAGGAAATCACAATGGGCTGTACGCCGATTGGGAGAGGGCGCCGACTGGAATCCAGGACGCAAAGGTTACGAGCCAAACGCCTGAACCATTTCAACGCGGATCCCCTGCCATCTACAAGGCGGACAACGATAGCTTCCGTTGTGATCAGCTCCCAAATCTCGGGGTACCATGGGCGATCTAAAAGCAAACCGGACCAGATTGTGCAATACTCTTCCCCTCAGTCTCTCAAGCTTGGTAATTTTGAACGCTTTCGAAAAGATTTAAAAAAAGCAGTTGGTATATTTGGTGGATAACGGCTTGGTTCTGATACAAAACATTTGTCAGGCCAATTAAAACATAAATGATTGGTGTAGCGCTTATAACAACCGGGCAGAATAGCCGTGCCATAGATCGTGTCATTACAAGTTGTACATTAAAAATGGAAAGACTCCAAAGGATCCACACTATGAGGCCATTCACATGTAGGTTGTTATTAGCGGTGGTGCGATGTTCACTTTCTTTTCGGGACCCATCCACTTAGGTTCTTCAGACTGGCTGAATAAGGACTGCTCGCCACACATTCGATAGCTACGCCCAGTTGACTGTTCAAAGAGCTACTGGCCTTGGCGAATTGCACCGTTTCAGTAACCAACCTTTGGAGGGTTGATGGGAACACCCCCCTTGTAACCTCGACATTACCCAAATCTACTTCATACCCAGTGTCAAGCGCGCGCACCGCTTAGCAAAGCACTCTATGCAGCCCCATTTCTCGGCAGGTGCGACCTGCGCTCCTTGTGTTCCGCTAACCTTGTCCGTGGCTGTCGCACAGTTTGAACTAGGGAGGAGCCATCAGTAGAACGCCGGCACGTCGTACGAACGCTTCGCTGCCAGGTGACCAGCGGCAGTCGCGAGTGCACTATGGACCCTACGAGGCCGTCCGCACCAGCGCAAATTCGCAACCGGTGACCTATCGGAAACACCTCAGATGCCTTATTTCAGTGGGTCATTGGTCCAACAACTGGCCACTACACTTGCGCAGCCATCGAAATTAAATTTACGCACGCATTCAGGCATGCTGTCTGCGGGAAGAGAACAGTTTAAATGCATCAGTGTCGAACGGAGCTGAACTGCAGTATGGTGCTGTCACGGTTTAGCAATTGCGGAACTAACGCCCAGTGGCTGGCCTTAGCCGAAGAATCACAAAGCAAAACACGTCAGGCACATGGAAGGCAAAACTGTATTCTAACCGGCATGGTGTGCAACGCATTGATCCACTATTCTAAACTAGGCCAATCGATAAATGAGTGAGCGGGGTACTGACACACGCCAGCAGATGCAGGCAACGAATAGAAAGGGCTTAGTACATTGGCCGGGAGGATGCACAGGTGCTCCAGCTGATTCCGTCTTATGGTCACGAATACGTCATCCACATAGAGCCACCAAATCGTCGATATTAGTTAGCGGTGTTACAAAAGCTTAAATGTACATATTTATCCACACATGGGATATTGGTGATTCCATGTCAAAACTCTGTACCCGAGTATGTATTTTCACGGTCTGTTACCAGACATTGTGCCATCAGAACCATGGCATAAAAGATAGAGAAAATAGAAACACGAAATGCGATTTTTAAAAAAATGGAAAAGGATTTTTTGGTTTTAAACAGGCCATTTGGATCCTTTTGTTTTTGTTTCGTGAGTATTTTGTGTGCATTAAAAGGGGGGTAAAATAGCAGAACAAGATTGACGCCACTGAGGTCTGTTGCAGTGCATGACATCCAATGTTTCCAACCACTGAGATTCAGCATCTCGTGGTCCCCAACCAGGAAGACGGACTGGTCTGACTGCCGCCAAACTTGAGGTTGCCTTCTTCATGCCCCTTCTCCACGTCATTGGCTGTCCACCGCGGCACTTTTTCCAATCGCTCTCTGGGAGTGCAAATAGCGCTCGACGTGAAAGGCGGTGGGTTAGGATGCGCAAAAAGTGCCCGAGCCAACGCATGCTATGTCGGAGAATAACGTTCTGAAGACTGGCACTACTCGCTCCAAGCACTCGGACCTCTGCGTTGCTTACGTGGTGTTGCCACCACACCCAAGCAATCCTTCGTAGACAGCGATTGTCGAAGACTGACAGCCACTTCATGTTTTCCGAGCGAATAGGCCAAGTCTCACAGCTGTACAAGAGTACTGCACGGACGGAAACATTGTACACCCTGCCCTTGAGCTTGAGACTGACATCACGACGACGCCATAGGTGTCTCAGTTTGAGGAATGCAAGGCGGGTCTTTGCAATTTGGTTTGAGACTTCATCTCCAACAACGCCGCCAGCCGTGATGCAATGGCTTGCTCCAGAACATGTCCAGCAATGGTGAGCGCGGGTTCAGGCACCTACCAGTCCTGGAGCAGCGTTGTGCATTACCCCGGAGTGAAGCATAAGCCGTACTTAGACGCCTCCAACGTTAAGCGGTCCAGAGCGCTCTGAACGGTTTGTGGGTCGTCCCCCAGCAAGGCGATATCATTGGCGTAGTCCAAGTCCGTGACTCTGTCTCCAGGGAGGAGCTCAACACCGCAGTTCTGGACACCTTCCAGAGTACATGGTCTCGATTGGAACACAAGAACATGCCCACGATTATCTGATCCAAAGAGGACTTCGTCCACTCTTTCAGGTTATTGCCTTCAATCAAACAGCGTTTCGCTAACCCCAACGCGTCGCCTTTCGGTAAGTTGGCGGAGAGCGAGTTAACGTCGAAAGTGACCATCAACTCATTTGACTCGATTGCAAGTGCTATCGTTTTTCGTGTGAACTCATAAGAGTTGTTGTGAGCGCGTTTATTTGCCTTGGCAACGTTAGCAAAGGCTAGTCGAACAGCCTACCCCTAATACAGTAAGGTATAATTCTGAGAGCAACGGTATGCGCTTCATGCAGACTAATATATGCAAAGGAGACTTCACTAGAACAACGACAATAAACCCCAGTGGCTCATCAAAATCTTGATGGTGTCTAGTATATGATAGCTTTTACATATAAATAGGGGACAAGAATGAGGAGTTTACACCTTAATTGTAGCTTAGTTATTACTATGGGAATTAGAACTTGGTGGATCTACAGTGCCAGTCATAGATTAGCTAAGGTAGAAAAATAGAGAACTTGGAAAATTACACATTGTGGACTGACGAGCACCGGTTGAGCGGGCACACAATCATGATCAGGTCACCCAAAGTGCGTCTAAGCGGGAGTCTGTCTCGTGGTATGAGATGGAAAACGCCCAAATAGGTGGTGAGTAAGTCACTGGACTCTGGATAGCCGCAATAGTTGTGGAAACGTCAGATGAGGATTCCAAACGCACATCCAATGTGTATTATAGAGTAGACAAGAATGGTAGGATTACCTGGTAAGAGAGGAGCCAAGGGAAATAGGATTGAGCTAGCAATAGAACCGAGAGCTACATTTAACACTAGTGGACTCATAGAGCTTCCGTCATGTAGACCGTTCAATAAACTGTAATCCGTACGTATACATAGGCGAAGCAGCAAGGACTGAATACCAGATCTGTACGGGTACGAATTTCTTGAATGACGATGGAAGAGCGTGAACGCAGACGTTTGAAGTCAAACAACTGAGTGTACATATACGCTGCTTACGTTTAGAAGACAGCGCGAGGATAGATCCTGATTGCAATGAGATTATAATCATCGGGCAGGTGACACACGCCGATTGTTTACGCATGAACCTAACAGGAATAGTGACGTCGACAGAATGGTCTAAAACCGCGTGTCTCCAGTAGGATGGATATGATGGATTGAAGCGGAAAGTGAGCTTCATCTGACTGAATAGGGACAATATACCCATCAGCAGATGGGAACCGTTAATCACTGACTCAGGTAAGCTATCTTCCAACCAATGGATCCACGGCAGTGGATATCCGCATCGTCCCCGAAGAGTCAACCTCTAAAGACGATTGAGGCTAATACTATAATATTCAATCGGAATAAGGTGGACAGCATAACAGAGGAACTAACCTGGTAGATTTGCGTGTAAACCTGCTTCGGTTCACTGACTTGCATTCCATTGACCACAACTTTTTGGAACGTCGCGTCTTGTTTCTTTGACATCACCGAGAGTACAGCGTTGACCGAAGCTGTTTTTCCGGTTCCAGGTAAACCGGAAATGTACATACAACTACGAAAAAGGTGTAAAAGGCGAATGGTCAGATGAATGTAAGGAGGTGACAAAACGGAAGATAAACAAATGTGGTTTCTGTGAAAAAATAGTGATCGGCATAATCAGATTTGAACATATGCGAAGTAACCCACCTCGGGTCTAATGCCCTTTCAATACTTCTCTGCCATACTCGCATACACAGCTGGTAGGATTCTTCCGGGATCCTCCGCAGCTCTTTCGTCACGGTCCTTTTAATGTCGTCCACGTCTTTAAAACGGGTTCTCTTGGTGACCATTGAGCATGGGGGAGAGGAAGAAACTACATGGAGCCAGGTCGAGTAAATAGGAAGGTTGTTCAAGCACGGTGATGTTCTTCGCGGCCACGAACTGTCTGATGCTAGGGACATTGTGAGCATGCTTGTTATCATGGTGAAGCAGCCATGAGTTATCCAGCCACAACTCTAGTCACTTCTGACGCATCGTTTGAAGCAAACGTTGCATTATCCCTTCTAAAACATGTTAGCTGACAATCCGACGCCGTGGCAAGAGTTCGTAGTGGAAGATCCCCATCACATCAAAGAATGTGATAAACATGACTATGAGTTTTGATTTCGATTGTCGTGTTTTTTCGGCTTTGCGACGTTGGACTCTTCCGCTGAAGTCTCTGGCGTACTCGCGAGATTTCCGAGGACCGATGAGTGGTTGAGAGGAGCGGTGATCCGCGGAAATGATCAAGTCATCTACGAGCTAATGGTTGGAAATGATAAATGGATCAGGCACGCCAGTCAGCTGACGCCGAATCACCGCAAGACTCAAGATCCAAGATCCCCAGAACTACTATCCTTGCCGTGAGACATCGCGTTAGACACATTTGGCTTGGAATATGGCGGCGAGCGGATAGCGTTCAAAACCGCAAGCACTAGACGACGCAGAAAGGTCGACCCGGAAGAGAAGACAACCACAATGAATGTGGATCGATCCCAACGCAAAGAGATGTGAGAAATATTAAGTACGCATGACCGGCAAGAAGCTTCGATTCGAAAAGAGAGATATTGGAGTGGCGAAACGGCCGAATTGTCGGAGATGTCAAAGCGTGAGAACTGCGCAATGGCTACACGTGTGTGCTGGACAGGATGCCAAACGGCAGACCTCAGACGAACTTGGCATACGGGTAGGAAGATTACGGCCAAAACGTCGAGGTGATGGCGCGCGTGTGGTTAATAAATAGAACCTACTATAGTTCAACTAGAAACCACTGCCGTCCCCGCGTCTGGTTTTCTCCTGGGTGGTTTGAATGGGAGTCGCACGCAGAGTATGAGCAGAGCAGGGTCACAACAGTAGTGCATCTGAACATTCGGTCGTTTCGTCTCTCCAACGCACTCGAAGAGTCATGACTCATCACCGGTGATAACTCACTCCAGTAAGTCTGGTTCGGTTTCAGGATAATATCTTAATTTTCCCAAGCTCAAAGGATCTCGTTCTGAATACCTGGACGACATTAAAAAGACTGTGATGACAGGGAAGCCCGAAAGCATTCCACCGTCAGTGCATCCGAATATGACAGAGAAGGATGGGAAAGTGCATTGGACTCCAAGGGGATTACTTGAAGAGGTGAACTGTTAGGGTGAAGTTTGGGGTTAAAGTAGACCTATTGCAGAAGCAATTCTGGAAGTTTTCTAACACATTTCGTATGTATGTATATAGTTGTTTGTGAATGGTAATTATCTATAAAAGGAAGCACGACAAAAGTGGAGCTTGTTGCAGCGAGGGGTGTACAAGGCTATCAGGATAACATACCCCCCGTATTGTTGAGTCAATCTCTCGCTGATGAACGTGTAGATCGTGTCGAATTCCAGCTCGCGACCAGGTAAAGCTTTTTCACTAGTAGGTCTAGGAAGAGAAGAAAAGAAAAAGATTGCAGATTGCATCTATGCACAATTGGGGAGAAGGCTTTGTTTATTTATATCAAGTACACGCGGTTAACTCAATAAGAGACTCTGATGGATTAAATGGACGGTTAACGCTTTAACCGTTGTAAGAATATGCATGAGTATAAAATGTCAATAGTGGAGCCGAGATGGAAAAGGAAAGGTACGCACAAATTAAATTGGAGTACCGAATTGTAACTGGAGAAGGATAGCCTAGGTGTATTTAAGTTCATACGATATGTGAGGCGTGAAAGTAGAGAGTACGAAAATTACGAGCAAAGCAATTCAGAGGTAGCAAGTAACGGCGATGTCAATACTGGTATTCCGCTAGTTCGACTCCTCAGTCAGTCAGTTGAAAATTAGCTGGTCAGTTGTTTGTGGGATATGCCAATGCAACTGTCTTATGCGGTGAAACAGATTTTAAATTCGCAGTCTAGATAAGCTTTATGTACCCGGATGGGTGCATTTTCAGCATGGCTCAGTGACATAAGCCGCTGACTAGCAAGAGTAAGGTCGTGGGTTCGAATCCGGCAGGATTCGGCGGGTGCGCGCTACTGACGAGTCGCAATAGGATGAAACGGCCGTCTAGCGCTTTCCTGGATGTGTGGTGGCTGTCTGTCTGTGTCCAACTGCGACGAACCTACATAAAACCTAATAAATCCCCATACTGCTTACAAATAATTTTACAATATCAACTGCAGATACATCAACATACAAAATTTCACAACTGGTAAACAAAATGGAAAGGAGTGCACGGATGTCACCGGAGCAAACGGTTCCGTATCCCCAAAATACGATTGCACAGTGCTGCAAGTACCGGGATTTGTATCCGGTTTACAGGCTAGCGTTCTACTAAGATGTTTCTTGATAATTGGCTTCAATTTGTGATCGAAAGAGACAAGTGGCGGATTGTGCGCAGTATCACGGCGATTTATTCGAAATAGCAAAGGAATAAAATGATCTTAGTGATCATGGAAATAGTCAAGCAAAAAGTTAAAAAGTTTCTACAAGTCCGATATATCTATAGCAGATAGCGTAAAGACAGTGTACCAGAAGAAACAGTAACGGCCAATTTGAAAGTCCCGTTAAGGCCAGAGTACAGCCTTGCGCTTTATTTTGATTAATCGTGTTGCTCCGTATGGATGCAGCTTTAAAACGTTCGTAGGCGCCGTGGAAGGCGTCTGGTTGTGGGTGTTAACAGTGATATAGGTCCACCTCGAAAGCCTGGAAAACAAAGACGATTCAACCGCAGTGATGTCACCTATGGCACAATTAGACCAGTACAGTAGGTAAACGTTCTGACAAAGGAGAAATTGGGATTGTTCTTCTAAAGCAAAAATAACAAAGGAGAGGGAAGCCTACGGATCCGAGTCAACTGTGAAGCGAGGTAGAAAATTTAAAAGGAGGATGAAGTATGGGGAAGGAAGTTTGGAAGTGACCAAGTAACCACGCAGACTACAACATAAAGCAACAGTGAGAATTGATCGATACATTTAAGAAGAACATAGGTAAGGTGACTTACTCAGATTTTGATGGTGTAGCGACAGTTCGATCAGGTACACTCGATCCACGCATCGAGAGTTGAGTAGGCGGTCTACCACGAGTCCTTGGAGTGGTACACTAGAGTATTGGAATGGAACGGAAGGTTGGCTGATGGGAGATGGCACACAGTGGAATACGTGATGCACTGAGCGTGTATTCATGCCTGCCAGTTGAAGAGTGCGAACGAGGCAATGTTCACCAATATCGGAAAGAAGTAGCGAGTTAAGCATTGAGGAGACGCTAACGGACAATGCTTAGTAAAGACCGCAAGTGAGTGAACTTGCAGTTGGAGAGTAGACAAACACTAATAATCTGACAAGAAAAGGGAACACAATGGTTCAGAAGTGGTACACTTCGTAATGCAGCTAAAGGAACATTCACACTCGTAAGTGAGACTAACAACCAAACGAATTCCCAGCTGGGTGTAGCAAATAAAGAGATAATGGCCAGAGGAAGCCCCATGGTATTCCTGGGGATGATACGCTAAAACGGAGTCAAGTGGGGACCACGTGATCCAGTAAATTTGTCCGCCGATTCAGTAAACGATCAAGCTAATATATATATATATATATATATATATATATATATACGGAAATAATCGTACTCCAGACCAGAATGGATTTATGCCAGTAAACCGGTGATTCAAAATGCGGAAAGACCACAAAAAGAATAAGAGAGAAATAGGGTTTAATCATCGTGCGAGACAAAGCTTGATAATCTATGGGTTGAGCATTACACACTAAGTCAAGCGCTTTTCAGTCGCCTTGGGGTGAAATTGCTGTATTGTGTAAATAGTAGGTGCGCAATTTGCATAACGTATGAAAGGGGCCTGAACACCCCGCGACCTATGATCTCATGCAAGAAGGTAAGAAGTAGGGACTTTTAGTTGAAAAAACCAGTTGTACGCCGTTACGACGCTTTGCTGCTACGCGACCACCACCAGTTGAGGACGAGCTGAGTATACCGCGAGGAGGCCCACTCCTGGGCGAATTCGAACCGGTGACCTTATAGTTGCAAACCAGGCGCGTAGACCACTCGCCCATACTCATCTTTAGCTGAGCATGGTCACACACTGGTTTGGAGTTGTGTACAATTCACTCCTAGAGTTTTTAAATGGAGACCCACCTTATGAATCGTTTCGCTAGCTTTTAAGCTGGGCAATGCTAGTGAAATCCCTGAGTCAACAAGTGAACTTTGTGTTATTAGGCGCGATAAATTGCCAAACCACTTCTGCCTAACGCTGGGAAGTGTGATCAAAAGTTCAGTACCATATCGAATTATCGGATAAAGAAGGAATCAAACGGATAGCTATGTTATCCAATTCAACGCACAACGAGTTGTAATGCAGTCGATACTGTGTTGGAAACAAAGTCCAACGGAGCTACTCAACAGGTGATTCTTGAAAGGTGGATTTTAGGCAAGCATACGATACACGCCGTGAAAATGAGCGATCCCGAGGCAATGGCGAGCGCAAGAGGCATCAGCAGTACGCCAGTACGCAGTACCGACGCCTCGCTGCCGTGCAACCACCACCGGTAGTGCGCAGGCTAAAGGTACGGCGAGAATCGCTCCGTCCCTACGCAGGCTGGAATCCGCACCGTCGAATTACAAGGCAGGGTTATGAACCTTAAATTGAATAGCTAGTGGTTTCAAGTGGATAATGAACAAATGTGTGTTAACTGCGTCAACCACCAATAAATGACATGTAAGGATTTTCAGTAGTATATATCGGATTCAGCAACAGTAGATGCACAATGCGGGAAGTGGTCCAGATGAATCCTGGAGAAAATCATTACCAATTAGTAATACTGTATTGCAGATATGAAAAGCATGGACGTAAGAAGAGTGGAAATTTAATTTCTTGGGTGACACAAGATGGTCACATCAACAAAGTCTAAGCCATACGGAAACTGACATCGCGACTGAAACAAAAGTTGAGGCAAGCGGTGTAGGCGTTGGCGAAAACAGGCAGAACAGTTAGTAAAGAAGCACAGCAACATTTACGGACTCATCCCCATCTCAGGAGTAAGTTGGAGAGCGTCAAAAGTGAGATAAAAACATACCGGCTCAAAAGCAAACTTACTGTGGCAGAGCGTGGCGTGCGTTTGGCTGATGATGGGGTAGTGGATGGAGTGCATTTGACTTGGGGACGTCGGCGTCGGCAACGCAACCATTCCACAGAAGACGAACTGTCCGATGGTTCGTCGGATAGTGATGAGATCTCGGACTCAGTAACTGAATCGTCCTCGTCAGAGGATTCAGAAACATCGATGCTGGTTTCCGCTCCATAATCACTATCAATGTCGTCCTCTCTGAAAAGAACATGATGCAATCAATAGATGAACCAGACTGTTGAGTAGCAACAGTGCAGTGTTTGCTGCTGTGGGTAATTAACTTGGGTTCCGAAATATGAAAATTTGGAACATCTGCCATGTTTATACGCTGTTATAGCAGCGACACATCAGCAAAAGTACTCAAAAGTTGTTTCATCTGAACTAGGTATCAGCAATGTGTCGGCACGTCGGAACGAGGCTTCTCTGCCTCGCGACCACCATCAGTCGTATATGGGCTGGGAAGATTGTAAGGTTGTCCGCACCTACACAGATTTAAGCCGCTGACGGGATTACATGGTTGATGCCTTATTCTTTCGGCCACCAGCGAACTTTTACCGGAACTATGCTTAAAAGTATGACAGATGATAAGTAGTAGCATAGTTTCAACCCA